CAACGTGCTGCCCTTCGTGCCCGTAAGGGGCAGATCCTGCGCAGAGAGGGGCTGTGGGGTGCTCCGCCAACAGCAACGGACACGGTGCCCTCGGGGTCGCACAGCTCTCCCGCGGCAGACAGATGTTGGATGTCCCCTGGGCACTCGCTGCCTCCTCGCCCTCAGCCCCGATTGCCCCGAAAAGAGCCCCCAAGAATTCCATTTCTGAGTCACCCGGAGTGAATTCTGGACAGGCGCTGAAACTAAGAGGAAGCCAGCTTCCAGGGAATGTCACTTCTTTGTGTCCCAAACCTGGCTGGCACCCCATTAGGGGTTTCTTGGGCTAGTTAAACAAGAGACTATTGGCTTACTGGGAGTGAAAAATAAACAGAGCTCTGCAACGTGAAATCCTGCTGTAAGCAGAGCAGCAGGCAGAGCCTGCTCTGAGGCTCCTTCTCCATACATGAAGCCACCCTCACCCTCGGGCACTAACCTGGCTGTGGAAACTGGTTCAAGTGTTCCTATTTCTGGGGTTTTCATCAAGCTCTGTCCCAAAGTGAACCAACTCCTTCATGCTGCTCAGCTGTGCCGACAGCCCTTCAGCAACAGAGGTGCTGGAGCTGGTTGTCTGGGCTCCCTCAGGCTGGCCCGGGTGGGATCCTGTGGGCATGGGGAAAGTCACTGGAGGCTTTGTCCTTCTCCTGTTTGCCAGCCTGACCTGTGAGGAGAGCGAGCCCTGTGGGAAAGGGGAGCTCACGGCGTTTGTGCATGCACAGGAGGGCTGTCATCTCAGCTGGTGCTCAGAGCATTGCCCTAATGTGAGCACCACGCGTGGAAATCCTCCTGCCCTCTGCCCTCCTGATCCCAGATGCCCAGGCCCTGGCCAGCAGATCAGGATTTTGCTTTGCTATGGCCACCACTTGGGCCACCGCTCCTGTTTAAAGCCACCCTCCTCTGAACGTGGGCCCTGCACAACAGGGTACGGGCCACCGACCTCTCTCTGCGACAGCAAGGGCAGGGCTGCTTGGCTTCTCGGGGGCCGTACAGCTGGAGCTGAACTCCCACCCCTCCTGCCATGCAGCACGCCTGGAACAAAGAGCACGTTAATCACGAAGGCCAACGTGCCCGAGCTGCAGATACTCCAACAGTTAGCTCTGCTCTAGCTGAGGCGCTGAGGTGAGAAAATATCTGGTGTAGAGCCAGGAGAAGTTTTACAGCCGGAACGAACAAATGTCGAACATCACTGAAAGTGATATAAGGAAAACTGCAACCCAGGCTGGAGACTGAACTTCTCTGAGCCGTGGCACAGACACCTGCAGCTCCTGGAGCACGGGGCAGAGCTCGGGGGGCAGCTTCCCCCTGGCTCTTCCACCCCATCCCTTCCTGCCTCTCCAGCGTGCCCGTGGCCCACCTGGGGAGGAGATGCTGGAATAGCTGAGAGCGCTATTCCTGCAGGTCTGGGGTTTCTCTGGTGGGGTTCCTTTCCTGGGACTGCCAGTGCCTGCCTTGTACACACAGGATCACACCAAGGGTTGAGGCACTGGAGACGTTACTCTGGAAATAAATACTAACTGTCCTCCCTCTGTATTTGCAATGAAATGGCTCTGATACCTCAGGCACAAATGCCTCCCTGTCTCATGTGTGGTGGGGGAGCAGCATGTCCCGCAGCTCCAGCAACCGCGCTGTGCAGGCAGAGCTCACCAGGGTGCGAGCAACGGGTGGAAAGCACAAGGCTGTGACCGCAGCAACTCCTTGCTGCTGGGAACGGAGCGCCAGCCTGCCTGGCAGAGCCGAGCATCCTGCTTTCTGATGGGATACCGAGGCACTAGGTACACAGGGAAAAATTCAAGCAGGCTGAGCATAGTCGATACAGGCTCTGGGCATGCTGGCAGGGACCTCAGCTCCCTAAGCTGTCCTGCCTAGCCAAGAGGCAGCAGCCTCGGGACTCCCGTTCAGTCTTCCACACGCTTGACAGGCTGTGCTGCCCAGGGGCTTTCATCTCCCCATGGTGAGATACTGCTGTTGCAGCCCAAAGGGGTTTAAGTTTTATGCTGTGCAAATCCAAAATTGCTCAGGGAGAGCGCTGCAGGCAGGAGGCCAGCAGTATAGCGTGTTGTCAGGCCTAAAAAGAGCTAACAGAGACAATAACAGAGCCCCTCAAACCCTTGCATTACCCCGTTACATCTCTGACACCAAGCCCCGCTGTCCTTTGGCCCTGGCTGCTGGAGGCAGCTCCTTCTTTTCTAGTGCTTCGCATGCCAGTGCTGGGAGGCTCAGCACAGGAAGGGACGTGATGTCCCACATTCCCAGCAGTGGGTTTAGTGGCTCCTGCTAAAGGCTAGCTGGCTCCCAGGTAAGCCTAGCCCTTTAGGTGCTATTTGTGTCAGCCGAGGGGATCTTCTCTTCCTCCTGTCTTCAGTGGGGAGCTGCTCTTTAAGCCTCTTTCAAGCCTTTTTTCCTCTTATTTCCTGCATTATCTCCCCAAAGCCCCACTGTTCCCATCCTATTTCAGCTTCTTCCCCAGCCAGAGGACTCTGCTTTCTTTCCACCCCTGCACTCCTGGTCCTTTCGTGGGTGCTTGTGGGCTGAATGCAACTAGAAGTTCAGGCAGCATGGAGGGCACGGGGAGGGCTTCCTGAGGAGCCCACCTGCGCGGGCACACGCTGCGAGACCGAGGTCAGCGCCAGCCTCAGCTTCCCCGTGTGCACATGCAGGGCTTTGACAGGAGCTCATTGCTCCCGTACCCGTTGGGAGCAGTTCTCACCGCAGAGCCTGTACCCTGCTCAGCATCACCCAGCTGAGGCAGGGCTGCACAAACACTGCCCTGTTTGGTGAAGGGCTCTGTTTCCAGGGCGCAGCGCTATTTCCACCCGGGAGTTTCCCCTTGCTGAGAAAACATTAACCGCTCCTCCCGCTCCCTGCTCTTGCATTGCAACAACAGCGGTTTACACATGGCCTTTTGCAAGAGAACAGGTTCGTTTGCTCAGCCTTCCTTGGGTTTCTCTCCATTTACTGCTGCTCCTGGTATTCAAAGGCCAATGTGGTTTATTGATGTTTTTCTTACACCAAGCAGAGATGCATGGGCTGGCTCTCAGGACCAGGGTTCCTCGGGTGGGAGAGGCAGCTCTGGGCCAGCCTCTGCCCCGGTGCTCAGGAGGCTTCCCTGGGGAGCGCCGGCACCTGAAGGGATTTGGAGACAGTTTCCATCACTACCTGATGCTAATCAGCTAGCTGACTAATCAGGCAGACCCTCGGGTGGAGATAAGCCAGCAAGGAAGTCACCACCAGCATAAGGCCAGCATTTTCTTACCGCGTGCTACAGCTGACAAGGCTCAGCCTGGTCTTTGCGAAGGGCTCTCCACAATGTGCTTTTATGGGATCTTGATGCTCTGCCGGGAAAGGCAAATTATTAACCACAACAGGAGGGTTCCAGGCACCAGAAGGGATGAGGAGGAAGACCCCAAGCTCCAAGCAGCTATCTGATGCACACGCATCTCCAGGCACAGTCAAAGCACCTTGAAGAGACCCCAGGGGCTGACACAATGGGGTGGCAGGAGGGATGGTTGCACCAGGCCTGTGCGTGCACCCGTGTCACCCTGCTGACACGTGGCTTTTGGCAGGCACACACAGCACTGCGATGCAACCACCTCTGCACCCAGACGGCGCTTGGGAAGGGCCACTCCAGACTGGCCCCGGGTATCCAGGGTGCAGGGCAACCTTCGCTTTCTGTGATTAAAGTCTGCTGGAGCAGAGACAGAGCCTGGCTGGCTGCTTTGGGGCCTGAGCCACCAAGAGAAGAGCATATGCCAGGGCATGCAGCCTCGTGTGCCCCAGCTCCTGCGAGAGCCCTTGTTTGGTGTGGTCCTAGAGGAAAGCCTGGACTCCACCAAGCCCCTGCCTCGTGGGGCAGAGCTTTGGGGCCTGAGCCACCAAGAGAAGAGCATATGCCAGGGCATGCAGCCTCGTGTGCCCCAGCTCCTGCGAGAGCCCTTGTTTGGTGTGGTCCCAGAGGAAAGCCTGGACTCGGGAGGTCACCACCAAGCCCCTGCCTCATGGGGCAGAGGGAGGACCCACAGTCAGAGGAATCACAGGGGCCGCAGTCCTGCCCAATAGCTCAGTCCAGGAGCAGTCGTGGCCACGCTTGTCCCCATGCATCCTGCAGCAGAACTGCAGGGCTCTGTCCTCACCTCCTGCCAGGGCTCAGCATAGGGTAGCTGGGCTCAGGCTTGTGTTCACGTGCGTGCGTGTGTGAACTCTCCTGCCCAGACCTCTTCCCTCCCTGCCCAGTGCTGCTCTGCAGCCCCCTCCCTTTACTCCTTACCTGGCTGCAGGGGCCAATGTCTGGCTCAGAGTCATTGAAATCCCACCCTGAAGCACAGACCCTACGCTCCCACTGGAGGCTGGCAGCAGGAGATGCTCTACCCATCGTAGGAGCATTACATGTGCTGAGCTGGAATGAGCCTTGCATCATGATCGCGCATCTTGTTTGCAATGCAGTGACAGACTTAGCAAGTCCTGCTGCTCACCAGCTCCCAGCCAGGAGGGAGTTGAGGGACCCTGCAGCTGAGGCAGGCACTGCTAGGGTTTCGGGGAATCTCCCAAGGGATGCCCCCAGCGCAGGATGGTTTGCTTGCAGCCTGTATGAAGCAACCTCAGCTGCATTCTGAGAAAGGCCTCGAGAGCTCCACAATGACAGCAGCCCTTGCTCCAATAGCAAGTAAATCAAGTGCAATCAGATATAACAGCCAGAATGTGGGGAAGAAGTGGATGTACATCCCGGCCCTTCCTACAATGAGACTGGGAAAGGCAGGGAAGCCATGCCTTGGTGCCAGGGTTTGCTCACTTCGGTGTCAGTCCCCAGTAGTCCCCTGCCTGACATTGCCCATGGGACCCACTTGCTCTTGCCCGGTGCCAGGCTGCGAGGGGATGGCTGCCTGCAGGGAGAGGGGCTCAGGGAACCCCTCTCCAGGGGGGACCCCACAATCTTGCCCTGCTGGCGCTGCCCGTACTGCTCTCATTCACAAATCCTCATCCCTGGGCTGGCTCCGTGCCCTCCCGACCTTGGTGGCCCTCGTGCGGCGCCACTTGGCCGTGTTTCTAGACATACCCGGGATGATGTCAACAGTGTCCAGCCCTGCTTCTATATGGCCCTCCTGGGAAAGCCTTCAGACCACATAGCCGAGTTGCAGGCCAGACCTGCCAGGCTCCCGGCTCCTTGGGCAAGGGCTCCTATTGCTTCAGCTCCCAAACAATGGGTGGTGGCGTGGGCTCTCAGCTAGCCTCCAGGGCACGGGGTGGCATCAGGTCCCACCGCTGGTGCCACCGCGTCACCTCTTGGCACAGCCCCGTGCCTGGGGACCCACTGTGCACACCTCTTCCTAGAAACAGCCACATTCGCATCCCGCTCCTCCCGGGGAAGAGGGGAGCTGCTGGGTGCAGGTTGCAGCCGGCCATGAGGGAGCCCACGAGACTGGGCTCCCAGCACCACCAGTGCTCCCAGAATGGGGGCTGTAATGGTGGCACCTTAACAAGAGCCCTGTGCCAGTGGTGAGAGGGGCTCACCACCTGCCTGAGACCTCATACACTTGTGTCGTGCCAGATCAGTGCTGCACCAGGCTGGGGAGGAGGGTATGGCTGAGCTCTCCATCTCCCTGTTACCTCATTCTGCTGGGTCCTTTTCTTGCATTATTGATAAGGGAGGATTTCATTTTGGTTTCTGTCCTATATTTGCAGGAGAAAGGCCATTCTGGCCCTCGCCAGAGCCTCCTTCTCCCTTCTGCCTGCCCCACAGCTTTGCTGGGAGCCTTTTGGCCCAGCAGCCTGGAGCCCCTGGGACCCAGCTCTGCCAGCTGCACAGGACGGTCCTCTCTGCCCAGCCTGTCCCAGCTGCTTGCTCTGCAGCCCACGCATCATGGGGTGAAGCAGCCAGCCTGGCCCCAGACCAGTCTCTCCAGGATGAAGGAGTAGGGATGGACAGAGAGCACAGACCTCATTGCCCTCGGGTGCTACTGCCCTCAGAGTAGGTGCCTCCTATGGGTCCTCCCTGTGTGAACCCCAATCTGTGTCCATCCCACACCAGGTCCTGCTGCCCTGCACCCCAGTATGGGCCAAGGATCCCCACCTCAGAGGGGAGCGGGATGCAGCACCCTCTGCTCTCCCCACAGACCTCCATCCCATGCATTTCCCTGATGTTTCTTACCACCTCCTGGAAGAGACCTGGATGCACACACTTCACGAGGGTTCCCACGCTTACCTGGTGCAAGAGGTCTTCGATTCCTGTCCTGTTTCAGGCTCCATCACCCCATGCTCCGCATGCTCCCCCATGGCCCTCTGCCCCCTTGCCCCCCACCTGCTCACCCCATCCTCAGCTGCAGTCAGGCCCTGGATCCAAGGGTCAGAAGAGCGGTGGCAAAGGTGGCACGGCACGCCACACCAGCAGGGCAGCTGCCCAGCCAGGGGCAGCCTCTGTGGCTGCCCGGCAGAGCTCCCCTGGCCCAGGCTGGCTGCAGCCCCATGCTGCTCCCAGCTGTGAGCGCTCAGAGCAAGGGAGGGGAGCAGGGAGAGGGTTTTACAGCCCACAAGAGCAGATGTTGCTAATTGAGCCTTTGAGCTGCATGCCAAGCCATGGCATGGAGGCTCTGCCCGGGTTTCAGAACCACTGCCAGGTCGCTGGCTTTGAAAACAGTGGGGGTGGGAGAGGGGGCTGGCGAGGGGGAGGCCGTGCATGCGTATCAGATTTGGCACAGCCTGAAGCCAGGCTGATAGACCCATGTCTCTGCACCGGCGGCCACTGGGGCCGGGGAGCTCATCCCGCTGGAGCAAAGGAGCCCTGGAGTGAGGGTCCTTGCATCTGCTCCTCAGCCACGGCTGGGCCAGGACAGGTTAATGCCTCAGCATAGGAGGGAAGGTGGTACCTACAGACACTGGTGGCTACTCATTCCCCTTTTATTTTCTTTGATGGTTAAAGATGAAGAAGCCCGCGTTAGCAATGGCAGGTCCTGGAGCTGCCTAGGAAGGAGAGAGGATCGGAACACCTGACTTGATCAGAGCATCCTTCCCATCAGCCAGGATGCTTGCCAGCAGCCACAGGCTCTGACCAGCTGGTTTTCTGATCACAGAGCCATCCCTTGCTCCCCAAACCCTCTGGTTTCCCCTTCCTCACCTTTCTGGCCACACTTGGTTAGAGCCCAGGTTTATTTCACCAGTGCCCAACTCTGGCCAGGGAGCTGGCTGTGTTGCTGCTTTCGGTCCGTGCCAGCGGCAGTCGCCGTCTGTCCCAGCAGGGCGAGCTGAGCCATGGGGTGACCTGGGTGCACGCAGTCTTGCTGTGACAGCGGGTGTCACCAGGCGCTCGCTGATACACCGGGCCAGGTCCTGCATTCCTCTGCAGGAACCTCTCGCCGCAGCATCTCCCCACTCGCTCTGGGCACATCGTCTTGTACCTGGCCCCCTTTTTGGGGCCACCGAGCGGGGCGTTTGCGTTTTCTAAGGCAGTCTCCGCAGAAGCGGTTTTGAGCAGGTCGGGGTTACCCGAGGGGACTCCCAGCCGCACCGTTGGG